AGCGAGGGACCTTAACAAAGGGAGAGGGAGAGGATATACTTGCTCAACGTGAGGTTGAGCAGCAGATTTCTTGTGAAGAGCGTCAAGGAGGAGCGCGATCAGGCCTTAGCCGCCAGGCTCTTGCGCGCTGCACAAGGTGCAGAGAGACTGGGCATAACTCACGTACGTGTAGAAAAGATACATTAGATACTGCTTAATTTACTCTGCAAACATCTATATATTATGTTATCACGTTGTTGAGATATACGCTTGTAGAGGTGCGCAAAGTTGGTAGGGTGGCCCGCTCGCTTGTATGGCCCGCTCGCTTGTAAAACATGTTATAAAAGGAGTTTGTTTCTAGTTATTAGGTAGGCCCTAGTAGCTTAATAGATTACATATATATTGCTATTTCTTTAAGTGTGTTATGTATAAGAATCTCTATAAGGTCCTTAATCCTCCTCTTAAATACTATGTCTTTGTTAATTAAATAATCTTAAGTGTTTATCACCCTAGTAAGTAATAGTATCTAGATTTAATAGACATTTAATAGCTAATAGCCTACTAAATAGCTAATCCAGGCCTTTAAATCTAGTCTTTAAAGACATAACTTACCTCTCTGTGTTTTACTTGTTATAGCAAAAGCTTTACACCTATATACTTTTAGGTGCGCAAGGTTAGGCTTTTGTAGTAATATTACTATACTATTGCTAAGAGTGACTTAGGTGTAGAGTATTTTGTATAGTGTTTTCTAATAGTTTGCGTAGTTTAGCGTTTAATTATAGAGGTATACTACTACCCTTGTAATTTCTGGCCACAGTTCCTAGGAGAGATTAGTATTAAGTTGCATTGCTTAAGCTTTCTCCTTCTTCACACCCCCTAAGCATTCTGCGTTGCTGTTCTGTGCTTAAGTGTCTAGCGCTAACGGCTCTACAATAACTCCTTATATTGCAAGCTATCTGATTATGTCTAGTTTAACTGTAGCTATTTTATTATCTACCTTAATAGTCTTAACTAAGATATTATAGTAATTTTCTAAGAATAGGATAAATATTAATAGTGCCTTACTTATTAACTTTGCTGTGTGATAATCTATAAAGTAGAGGTTGATTGATTGATTGATTAGTTTAACGTCCTGTGTGAGTCTAAGACTATATAGGACGAGAGCAGTGAGGCTGCTCTAGTAATTTACAAATTTTTTCTGTGTAACGTGGTTCACAAGCGAGTCGCCCACCCAAGTGAGTCGCCCACTAAACACCCGCGCCCCGCCTGCGCAGCAACAACGCGTAATGCCACAACAACACAACATACAAAAGACCTATACTGAAGGAGATGTATTTATTGCTATCTCTGATATTGAGTCTAAGCAGATACAGAGCGAAAGACGCGCTGCAGCAGTCTATAACATCCCACGAACACCGATCTAAGACCAACGCGCTGGACGACGCCCTTAACGCGACTGTGAGCCAAAATTAAAGCGCCTTACAAAGCTAGAAGAGGAGGCAATTATACAGCGTATACTTGAAGAGAGTCTACGTAGAATACCGCCCTTAAAGGCGCATGTACAAGATATGGCTAATAGACTGCTAAGGGAGCGTAGTAGGAAGCCTACAGGCAAGAACTAGGTTAATAACTTCATTAAGCGTACACTAGAGCTGCGCACGCGATAGAGCTGTCTGTACAATTGCTAGCGAGCTGCCTGCGAAGACCTAGCGCTTATCCAGCCCTAGTTCAGCCTAGTTTAATTAATAAAGACAAAGTATAGTATTATAGATAAGGACACCTAGAACTTTAATAATTCTAGCTTTATAATAGGCAAGATATCCTCTTAGCTTGTTGTTATAGGCTTAGAGAAACCTAGGAAATAGAAGAAACTACAGCCTAGCAATTATAAGTAGGTTACCCTAGTATAAGGTGTTGCTATAATAGGGCGTATTATTATACCCTTCCTTATCTTTGTAGGCAAGGTCCTAATCTCCTCCTAGTTTACTAGTCTACCTTGCAACTAGGTTGTTACAGTCTCTCCTACTAGCTAGACTAATAACAACGTTGTGATGGCATGGCTTAAGCACTTTGACGCCTATACAAAGGTAACCTCTGCTAGGGCATATAGGCTGCTTATTATTAATGGCCATAAGAGCCACTGCTTAATAGAATTCCAGGACTACTGCAAGGAGAACAAGATTATCACTCTCTGCATGCTACCACACTCATCGCACCTCCTGCAGCCTCTTGACGTTGTCCCATACTTGCTGTTGAAGCGCCACTACAGCGACAGGATCTCGCTCTTAGCACGCAGCTGCATCTACTATATTAACAAAGAAACCTTCCTACTAGCCTTTAAAGTAGCTTTTAAGAGGACATTTACACTAGAGAATGTTTGCGCGGGGTTTTAAGGCGCTAGGCTAGCCCTGCATAACCCTGAGGTTGTGTTATTAAAGCTTGATGTACAGCTACGTACGCCAACGCCACCTGCACTAGGCACTGTCGCCTGGGAGGCGCAAACACCACGCAACGCCTGCAAGATAGAGGCGCAGTCAACGCTGATCTAAAATCGCATGCAAATCATTGTGGGTCACTAGCAAGTTTATTAGATAAGCAGGTTAAGCAGTTAAGTAAAGGCGCTTAATAGATAGCTTATAATATAGTGTTAGTGTAGGAGGAAATAGGCTACCTATAAGACGCTGTTACTACGCTTATAAAGCGCAAGACCTATAAAAGGCAGTATGTACGCGTAGAGGAGACTCTAACAGTTAGTAAGGTATCTAACCTAGTTACTAAAAAGGAGGGTAGTAGTTGTAAGGAGGGCAAGACGCCTGCAAAGAGGGTGCGCGCAGAGAGGCGCTGCAGCTGTTGCAGCGAAATTGGGCATAACTCCTGCACCTGTAAGGTAGAAATTAAGGACGTAGATAATAGCGACGCTTCTAAATAATATTATAATGTTATGTGTACTATTGTAATTTATTGTAGTGCTGCGCTGCACTGCTGCGTAGGCGCGGCGCGGGTGTTTGGTGGACGACTAACTTGGGTGAGCGACTCGCTTGTGAACCACGTTAAGGGAATAGTATATATAGGTTTGTAAATATATAGTAAGAGCCTGTGCTCTAGTTATAAACAAAGGAAATTAGTTATTTATTGTTTGCTGTAGGTATAACTTGCGTGTGCCTACTTTAGTTTCTTAAATAAAAGCTAGAGTAGCTAAGATTCCCCTATTTGTGTCTAGGAGAAGAGACATTGTAAGTCTTAGCTCCTGTAGGCTGCTCTTTATTTTCTTTCTTGCTTCTCTGTAGTTTCTACAGCTAAGGAGTAGGTGTTAAGGTATTTGTGTACATCTACAGCTATATTTAGAGCTTTCTGTTTTTTGTATATTGTGTAGGTATGCTTTGTTGTATCCATGTCTAAGTTTTAGCTAGTAGTATGCGCTTGTAATTTCTCTTCTAGTGTTTTTTAGCAGTGTTATCTTGCTTGTTAGTTTTAGCAAGAATCTTGCAGTGTAGGTGCTAGGATTTCTAAGCTTTGCTTTTGTAGAGTAGGCCTAGAGTTTGTGTTGCTACTCTTGTCTTGCAATAGCTTTAATCCTAATACCTGTCATTGCAAGGATTGTATTATTAGATACTAGCTACCTTTTTGCAGCTTGTTTTGCCAAGGAGTCTGCTTTTTTGTTTCCTGCAATATCTAGGTGTCCTAGGGTCTAGTATAGGCTAATTATTGCGCCTTTGCTATAGATTGCCTTTGCTGCCTTTGTACAGCAGATTTGCTAAGCTTGTCTAGGGTTATTAGATAGAGTCTTTAGCCTTAGAATAGCTGCCTAGTTGTCTGCAAAGACTTAGATCTCTTGTTCTGCTGTAGCTATAGAAGCTGCAAGCTTAAAGGCTCTTGTTATGCTTTCTAGCTCTCTACTATATATAATCTAGCCTTTGTTAATATTATATTTAGTAGAGTAGATCTCCTTAGCCTGCTGTTTGTAGTCTAGAGCAGTAACTCCTATTCCTATTCCTGTGCCTTTCTTAATAGAGGAGGCGTCTGTGTAGATAGCAAGTAGGTTGTCCCCTAGTCTCTGTAGCATTTGCATTTTGTGTTGCTCTGCTTCTTCTTCTTTAGAGAGTTTAGAGATCTCTGCTGTGTATAATATAGTCTTGTTCTAGGGGCAGAAATAGTAGTCCTGCAGTTTTTCTTATTCTATGCTAGGAGGAGCGTTTTATATTAATTATATAATTTGCATAAGCTAAGTAGGTAGGCCTATTCTTAGCCTTAAGAGAGAAGCTTCTTCCTCTTATTCTATGCTAGACTCCAAGTCTTCTCTTTATAACTATAGAGTAGCTTTTAGAGTCTTAATTATAATATAAATAGGGTAGTCTTCAGGTAGCCTTCTAGCTCTAAAGGCATACTTTCTTAGAGCAGTATTTAGTCTTATAGCAGGGGGAGGAAGTGCTGCTTCTGTCTCCTGTAGTGCTATAGGAGAGGTCCTAAAGGTTCCTAGGATTTTTCTTAGGGCAAGATTCTGCAGTCCTTAGAGTTGCTTTGTTATTCCTGCTTGTTTTTTCTAGAAGACCTGGCAGCCATAATCTGCAATGCTAGAAACACATGCTAAGTATAGTCATCTTACAGCGCTAGGAGGGAGGCCTCTATTGCTGTTTGCAAGTCTGCACATTCTATAGAAAGCGTTTCTTGCTTAGCTAATCCTTGTAGCTTTGTATTCTTTAAAGGAGAGTGCGTTGTTAAAGTAGATTCCTAGCCACTTTACTGTCTTTTTTAGCTCTATAGTAGACCTGTCTAGTAGGGCAAGTGTAGAGCTAAAAGCTTTATTACTTGTTGTAAAGTAAATAAGCTCTGTCTTTGCTGCATTAAATTGTATAGCGCAGCTTGCTCCTTTAGCAAATAGGCTTACTATATCTTTTTCTAGCATGCAGACATTCTTCTTTAGGCTAGTAGAAGATGCTGTTATTGCGAGGTTATCTAGGTAGGATAGGGAGTAGTCTATAATAGATTAAAATAGAGGTCTTATATATATTAGAAATAGGATTAGTAAGATAGGGATACCTTGTGAAATTCCTGCTGTAATGCTGCTAAAGCCTTCTGTTTCTCCATTAAAGGACAGTCTTAGCTAGCGCTTAGATAGGAATGATTGAACCCATGCTATTAGGTTGCAAGGTAGCTGTAGCTGATTGATTGATTGATTGATTAGTTTAACGTCCTGTGTGAGTCTAAGACTATATAGGACGAGAGCAGTGAGGCTGCTCTAGTAATTTACAAGTTTTTTCTGTGTAAGGGAATAGTATATATAGGTTCGTAGACATATAGTGAGAGCCTGTGCTCTAGTTATAGACAAAGGAAATTAGTTGTCTGTTGTTTGCTGTAGGTACTACTTGCGCGTGCCTACTTTAGTTTCTTGAATAAAAGCTAGAGTAGCTTAGATTCCCCTATTTATGTCTAGGAGAAGAGACATTGTAAGTCTTGTCTCCTGTAGGCTGCTCTTTATTTTCTTTCTTGCTTCTCTGTAGTTTCTATAGCTAAGCAGTAGGTGCTGAGCTGTTTGTGTATATCTGCAGCTGTATTTAGAGCTTTCTGTTTTTTGTCTATTATATAGGTATCCTTTGTTGTATCTATGTCCAAGTTTAAGCTAGTAGTATACGCTTGTAATTTCTCTTCTAGTGTTTTTTAGTATTGTTATCTTGCTTGTTAGCTTTAGCAAGAACCTTGCTGCGTAGGTGCTAGGATTCCTAAGCTTTGCTTTTATAGAGTAGGCTTAGAGTTTATATTACCACTCTTGTCTTACAATAGCTTTAATCCTAATACCTGTCATTGCAAGGCTTGTAGTATTAGATACTAGTTGCTGTTTTGTAGATTGTTTTGCTAAGGAGTCTAGTTTTTTATTTCCTGTAATATCTAGGTGTCCTAGGGTCTAGTGTAGGCTAACTATTACGCCTTTGCTGTGAATTGCCTTTGCTGCCTTTGTGCAGCAGATTCGCTAAGCTTGTCTAGGGTTATTAGAAGGGGTCTTTAGCCTTAAAATAGCTGCCTAGTTGTCTACAAAGACTTAGATCTCTTGTCCTGCTGTAGCTATAGGAGCTGCAAACTTAAAGGCTCTTGTTATGCCTTCTAGCTCTCTATTGTATACAATATAGCCTTTGCTAATATTATATTTAGTAGAGTAGATCTTCTTAGCCTGCTGTTTGTAGTCTAGAGCAGTAACTCCTATTCCTATTCCTGTGCCTTTCTTAATAGA